AGCTGGCTAGAATTCCCACACAGCAGTTTTCTTGTATATACTTTGGCAGCAACTCAAGAACAAGCTGAAGAATTCTGGAATAAATAGGGTGAAAAAGGCTCTGGGTGAAACGAGTTGTGCATCACAGCAGAAAGGTCAGGCTTTGGGTGCTATATGTGAGCTCCCCAAGTAACAGACTGGAGAAGGATTGTTACTCTGTACACTGGGAACATACTGAACACTGAATGCTCATGTCTTTATATTAACAGTTGGAAGAAAAGAGCTGGGAGTCTGCTGGGGAGAATGGTATTTCTCTGAGGATCTTGTAAAATGTGTTTCTCAAAAAGTTCGTCAATTGGGATTGAGAGTTATTATATGATGAGAATTGGAATCACATTTAAAATCTAGACATATTGACAATCTGAATGAAATGACTCAAGGAATATATGTGTTGAAATAAAAGATCCCCTGCTTTACAACAACAACTTGCATTTACTTCACGCGGGTTAGCGTCCTGGAGCGCTTGACAGTGATGGAGTCTATCACTGAGCCAGGGGGAGGAAGGGAGGAGGTGACAGTAACCACTATCAAAAAGGAAGGTCTTTAGGTAGGATTTGAAAGTGGGTAGGGAGGGGGCAAGGAAGAGGGATTGAGGGAGAGATTTCCAGAGTTTCGGGGCTTCGTGAATGAAGGCACAGACACCAATAATGGAGCGGAAGAGAAGATGGAGCCAACCGAGAAGAAATGTGCTGCAAAAGCTTGTTTTCTGTTTACATTTCTAACTGGACAGCTTAACATTAAAATCATTGTTTTTCACCAAATAGTTAGACAAAAATCATCATGGTGGACCCATATTGTGAGTAATGAGTACATGATACAATCTGAACTTTCAAGTTGTATACTGGATCCTGGTCCATTAATGTATGTTTGTCCATGAATATGAGACAGATGTGTACTCAAACAAACTGATTGAATGGACAAAGGGAGGTCTTTCATGAAATTGTAAACTTATGCACTATAGAACCATTAACCATAAATTAATCTGTAAATTGTAAACGTATTCACTATAAACCTACAGTGAAATGCAGCAGGAAACAAGTGGTTTCCTAGACTATCATTTTAGAATGCTTTTCTATAATATGCTTTGCAATGCAGAACTATAAAATACAATAAAATGCAGTGCCTCCTCACTAATCAAATATCAAAGGTTCTAATTTATTAGATGTGTACAATATAACCTTACACATTAGGGCGTAACAGCAAAGATAATAACTTTGGATAAACAGTTTTTGTCAAAATTCTTTTTTATTTGCAGGTCACCTCTTTGGTATCCTTTCTGTTCCTGCTTTTCTGGCCCAAACATTAACTCTGTGGCACAGATGACAAGTGAATTACCTCCCGGGGCAATGTCACTGAATAGACTGCTGGAAGTGAGTAAGACTTGTCTAACTAGAATCCTCTGAATCTTTTCTGTCAGTCCATTGGTAGGTGGATAAAATGGTAGGTGATAAATACACAAGCCTGCTGTACTCTCATTCCCCTTGTTACATTTATACAGATGAGATATGCATTCAGTGGTGCCTGTCCTCTTTGAGACTGTGAACGTGATGCTATGTTTGTGGTCCATTTTGTGTTGGAATATCATTCCACTGGTTATTGTAAATACATTGTTTTAAACAGTTTTTGTTGCATATGAATCAATATTTGTTAATCTTATATTAGTGAACTTTCGGAGACAATCCTAAAAAGACTGCTGCAAAAAAAATTGTTAAGATACAATAAATCACAAGTTAACAGAAAATCTCAGTTGAAGGGAAGGTTGAATTGTTATACCAATAGCGCCACACAGTGGCTCTACTACATGATCTGATACAAATGCACAAACCATATCTCTCTGACTGAGTAGCAAATACAATACCTCTTTACAAGCCTACTACACCCAATTGATTTTTATTAAAATTTCATTGAATAACATTCATCTGATGGTTAACCCTTGGACTGCTGATATATCCAGGTCTTCCCGGGTCAACTGGTTTTGTATCTTGTTTGATTATGTGCAGTGACCCTGACAATAACACTCAATTTGCTGTAATAACACAAATCAAATTTCAGAGATAGATATATTATTGCAATAGCCATCCTATGGGACGAAATGAAAATAGTGGATGAAAATTGTCAAAGCTAAGGTAAAATTCTGGTTGCCAAGCTCATATTCCCGTTAATTTTTTAAAACTTTGTCATTTTTTTCCTGAACCTGCCACTTTAGAGCAAACTCAATCCCAAAGAGATACATCCCCCCTCCCCACAGGAGAATAGTCACGAGTACCTCACTACGGTGAATTCCAATGTCAGAAGCAGATGATAGGAGAAAAATTATTTTATTTTTATTAAAACAAACTGTGCAATGCTTGTTAACTAACAATGCTTGCTGCTAACTTCTCTTTTACTCTAAGAAAATAACTCCCCCTAACTCTCTCGGAAAGGATTACAAAGCAGTCTACGCTTCCATGTCTGTCTTGATTCTGGTAAATGTGTCTGTCTTTGCTAGGTATGTTTCCTCAGAGCCAGTTCAGCCACAGGGAGAGAATTCAGCCTAGGGAGACACTGCTTTGCCACTCTCCCTGCTTCAGATATGTTTGGATATGCTACTCGCTTTATCAATCTCAAAAGAGTGACTCACTAGGATTCAAACCCAGCATTTTCCCATACTTAATTGGCAGAGCTATGCGTTGTCAAAGTTGCTGTACTTTGCATGAGACATTAATCCGAGATCCCATCCGCCTGCTCAAGAGGTTGTTGAATGTTCCTGGAATACTATTCAACAAGAAAAGGAAGTTTCTCCCAGTGATAAGTTGATCATTCACTTCACTGGCTGTAAACAATGTGTCTGTCTGTCATGTCTGCCTACAAATACACAGTTATTACACTTGACAACAATTAGAAACATAGGAACAAGAACAGGAGGTGGCCATTCAGCCCAAAGAGCCTGTCTCATCAATTAATTTATTTGAGCAGATCTTTTAATTCCAAACGTTGCATTTCTTCACTGTATCTCTTAATACCTCTATTACCCGAGTATCTCTCTCTCTCTTTGATTTCACCTCTTCAGCTTTCTGGGTAGAAGATTCTACAATTTCGACAACTCTCTGTGGGAAGAAACACTTCTTGACCTTCTTGGTCCAACATCTAACTTGTCAATTCCTTTTGTTAGAAATTTAGCCAGCCTTTTCAACATAGCTAACGACTTATCAGCTTTGTGACGTTTTAGCTTCTATGTAGACGGAAGATTATTCATTTAACACTTGGAATAAGCACACATTTATGTTAAAAAACTATGCATGTCCATGCACATGAGGCACCAAATAAACTACTACAGTAATATAATGTCCTAATCCAGGCAGGAAATGCTGCTCCTTCATTTTTTTTTAAAATGCTGTAGACATCAGTCAATTGGCTAAATTTCAGAGGCACATGTTATTTATAACCCAGTCAGTTTTGTGTAGAACTTAATGGTTTTGTTCAGATGTACTGGATGTAGCCTGGGCTGTTTAAACTGGGAGCAACAGAAATCCGAAGCCTGCATTTATATTAAACCTTTCTCTCCAGTCAAGTTGCACATTTCAACGTCTCGAAGAAGGAAACACGAAACCGTTTCAATGACAGCTCGACACGCTGTGATCTGTAACAACTAGGCGGAGGGCAAAAAATGTGGGAACTCCCAACAGATAGTGAGTGTAGTGTGTGGCACATCTGTGCCTTAAGCATCGCAAAGAGAGTATAATGTGAACTCGATGGGTCTCATGCAAATTAGGCTCTTTTTTAATGTACTGTATATATAATTAATTTGGAAGTGAGGAACACACAATTTAACTTTGCCAAGGGATGATCCGCTTTTGCAAGTAGTAACATTGATTCCCGTCAGTTCAACTACAACAACAACAACAAGAAGTTGGGGCAAAGAGTAGAGCTTATGCAGGGTGTCAACGCTTTTTTTTATTATAAAAAGGTCATTAAAAAAAACATATTTCTCAACGGAAACAAAAAATCGACAATGTCACCTATCCGCACAGAGGAAAAAAATAGGAAAGTGGTTTGCAAACCCGTTTGCTGTCATGCATATTGGGTCAATACTGGCATCGCTTACATTACATTACAGTACAATACTTCACTACGCGTCTGGCACTTGTTACATCAGGCACGGTTTCCTGACTCAAAGTCATTTCTAAACCGGCTTTCACAAAGAAATGCCAAGGACAATCAGCAAATTTTGTTTTAAAACTTTCCTTTTTCCCTCCCCCACTTTTCTTCTTCTTTGATTCACTTTTCAACCCAGATAAAACTTTTTTTCTCAATAAAAACATAAAAATATATATTTATATAGTATTCCGAAGATTCCCCCCCCCACACACCTTTTACAAAATATACATATAACTGGATGAGAACACATCAAAATGTACGTGATGATAAGTCACAATAGGTCACAGAGATTTTTTTAAGGAATGGAGGGGAGAGAGGTGGAAGCTGAGAAAAGTGTTCAAAAACGTTCAGTCATAGAGGGAGACAGTGGAGGGAGGTGGAAGGATGAGAAGTGTTACAATAATCCTTGCATTTGATAGAGCGCCTTATCACGTTTTCGAGACGTCTCAAAGCGCTTCACAGAAAATACTGTAAAGTGAATTGACCGTATATTTTGTGAGTGAAACTTGGTCGTCAATTGCGCACAGTGGTGTCCTACAAACAGTCCTGGATTGAGTGACCACATTATTATTATTTTCTTTTCTTTTGAGGGATTATTACCCCACCCTGGGAAAGCGAACCTCTGCTAATCGACGAACAACCGAGACCCTATTTTCGACTCGGTAAAACAGAGGAGTCAAGGGAATTAAGGAAACTTGCTTAAAGTGTTCAAAATCATTGAGTCATAGTGGGGAAACAAGAAAGTGGGTGGGGGAGGTGGGGAAGGTGGGGGGGTGGGGAGAGAGAGAGACAGAGAGGGAGAGAGGGTTGGAAAGGATGGGGCGAGGATGGTGGTGGGGGAAGTGGAGGTGGGGGGGTTGATGAGAAGTGTTCAAAAAATGCATCGTTCAACCTTTTTGTGTAAAGTTTCAGATCGGTTGAGCTTCAGTGCTTGTTTTGGTTTCACTCTGACACTTGGATGACCACAGTACTGGTCGTGTTGGGGTGTGGGCTCTGCCTCCTGTACCGACTGAGCCACTCTCTGAGCTCGGAGATCTTGTAGCCCTCTGGTCCTCTCCCTCCTTGATAGACCACGTGCTGGTCCATCACCACGTACAGCCTCTCAAAGTATGCCCCGTAGGCGGCGTTGGACAGGTTGTCCATACCGTCGGCCACCACAAGGCAGCCCGGGTTCTCCTTGTCCATCAGGCTGGCCGCCCTCAGCCTGTCCTCCAGGCACCGGTGCTTGGGGATCTCGTAGGGGGCGTCGGTGCTGACCCAGCCGTCGGAAGGGTGGGCTTCCTCGATGTAGACCAGCAAGAAGTCCGCAATGTCCGCGTAGCGGGTGGCCACCCGCCGGAACGCCTTGAGGCGCGCCATGAAGGGGGGTCAGGTGCAGCTGCCGAAGTTGAGGATGAGCGGCCGCGGGTCTCGGCTGTAGTCCAGCAGCCGCCGGACCCCCCTCCCCCTCTGTGGCCCCAAGGGCACCACCTCAGGGTTGGGGGCTCGGCAGCCCACGTGGGCCGCCTTGAAGTGGTCCAGCCTCTGCCCCCTCCAGATGGCTTTGAGCGACTGCAGAGTGAACATACTGTTGCTGTCTGAGATACAGAGTGGGGGGTCGTCAGCGCTGCTGCTGCTGCTGCTGCTGCTCCTCTCGCTCCCCTCCTCTTCCTCCCTCTCCACCCCCTCTTCTTCCCTCTGCTTTTCTTCATCCGCCACCATCTCCTCCTCCTCCTCCTCCTCCTCCTCTTCCTCTTCCTCGTAGCGAGCCCTCAACTTGCACAGCAGCCGCTTGCGGATGCACAGGATGTCCAGCAGCCACAGAGTCAAGGCGGTGACTATGAAGCGGGGCAGGAGAACCAGCACCGCCATCGCCTCTTTCAGGAGCTTCATGGTGGTCAGTGGGTGGTCAGTGGGTGGTCAGTGGGTGGGTGGGTGATCAGTGGGTGGGTGGGTGGTCAGTGGGTGGGTGTGTAATCATTGGGTGGGTGTGTGGTCAGTGGGTGGGTGTGTGGTCAGTGGGTGGGTGGGTGATCAGTGGGTGGGTGGGTGGTCAGTGGGTGAGTGGGTGATCAGAGGGTGAGTGGGTGATCAGAGGGTGAGTGGGTGATCATAGGGTGGGTGTGTAATCATTGGGTGGGTGTGTGGTCAGTGGGTGTGTGGTCAGTGGGTGGGTGATCAGTGGGTGGGTGGGTGGTCAGAGGGTGAGTGGGTGATCAGTGGGTGGGTGTGTAATCATTGGGTGGGTGTGTGGTCAGTGGGTGTGTGGTCAGTGGGTGGGTGATCAGTGGGTGGGTGGGTGGTCAGTGGGTGGGTGGGTGGGTGATCAGTGGGTGGGTGGGTGGGTGTGTGGTCAGTGGGTGGGTGTGTGGTCAGTGGGTGGGTGTGTGGTCAGTGGGTGGGTGTGTGGTCATTGGGTGGGTGGTCAGTGGGTGGGTGGGTGGTCAGAGGGTGGGTGGTGAGTGTGTGTGTGAGTCTCTCAGTCAGTCAGTCAGTCAGTCAGTCAACACTTCTCCCTTGAGAGTGAGTGTGTGACTCTCTGCTGTGACAGTATGGCCACAACTCAGACCCTTTATAAAGCCCCGGTGTTGAATGGAAGCACCAGCCCCCGCCTCCTTCATGTGATCCGTCCCCCCCGGGGATTACCCACCACCTCCTCACCGCCCGGAGGGGGTGTGGGGGGGGAACTGGATGGAGTTGAGTGAGTTTGTACTTGTACGTATGTGTTGTGTGTGTGTGTATGGGGGTGGGGGGTGTTGTGTGTGTGTGTATGGGGGTGGGGGTGTTGTGTGTGTGTGTGTGTGGAGGGGGGTGTTGAGTGTGTGTGTGTGTATGGGGGTGGGGGGTGTTGTGTGTGTGTGTGTGTGGAGGGGGGTGTTGAGTGTGTGTGTGTGTATGGGGGTGGGGGGTGTTGTGTGTGTGTGTATGGGGGTGGGGGGTGTTGTGTGTGTGTGTATGGGGGTGGGGGGTGTTGTGTGTGTGTATGGGGGTGGGGGGTGTTGTGTGTGTGTATGGGGGTGGGGGGTGTTGTGTGTGTGTGTGTATGGGGGTGGGGGGTGTTGGGTGTGTGTATGGGGGTGGGGGGTGTTGTGTGTGTGTGTCTGGGGGTGGGGGGGTGTTGTGTGTGTGTGTATGGGGGTGGGGGGGGTGTTGTGTGTGTGTGTGTATGGGGGTGGGGGGTGTTGGGTGTGTGTATGGGGGTGGGGGTGTTGTGTGTGTGTGTGTATGGGGGTGGGGGGTGTTGGGTGTGTGTATGTGTTGGGGGTGGGGGGTGTTGTGTGTGTGTGTGTGTGTGGAGGGGGGTGTTGAGTGTGTGTGTGTGTGTGTGTATGGGGGTGGGGGGTGTTGTGTGTGTGTGTGTGTATGGGGGTTGGTGTGTGTGTGTGTGTGTATGGGGTGGGGGGTGTTGTGTGTGTATGGGGGGTGGTGTTGTGTGTGTGTGTGTATGGGGGTGGGGGGTGTTGTGTGTGTATGTGTTGGGGGTCGGGGAATGGAGAGGGTGGGGGGTGGGTAGGAGAGTGACAGAAGAATAAAGTGAGGAAGCCAAGAATAAGTCTTGGTGATATTCAGGAGGATATTAACAACACATAACAACAACAACAGCCTCTTGTAAGCATTACCCAACATAAGTGTGTGGGGTGTGTGTGTGGGGTGGGGGGGGGGGGGAGAGCCCTCCATTTAAAGGGATGTGAGGGGAAAGGTGGATAAGGTACTCGAAAAATAAAGCCAAGACTCACATCTTTTTAAAAGAAGGGAAAATAATGGCACTTAAAGGAGGTGTCAGATCCAGGACTGACTTTGCTGTACTGTCCAGAGAAGAGGGACTCGTGGTTTTGTTTTGGGGCTTTAAATACACACTCCCAAACAGAGTTGCTTTCGTGCAGAGCGAACAAAGTTGGTTAGTTAGTTGGTTAGTTAGTTAGTTGGTTAGTCTCTGTGCAATCTTCTTATGCACTCGATGGGTTAAAGGGCTTTATGACATTTCATTGGAAAATCACACACAAACCATCAGATGTGCTGTTTGCTCCCATTCCCATTGCCCATCTGCATTCTGCCCATCTTCTAAATTTAAGCAGCAGAGAGACTCTTTTATTCGATTGAAACGCCTTCACTTGCAGTCATGTTAGTGGTTCGGTTGTTGCATTCGTGGACGTTCACGTCTGACTTCTTCTTTTTTTCGGGGGTTAAACAACAACCCAACGAAAAAAGTTAAAGGAGAGAAAAAAAAGTTTTGTTGCGTTTCGGGATCGGAATTGCAACTTTTTTTTTGGTTTGTTCCGAACGGTTTGCTGGATGCATTTATTTGGGGAGATCAATGTTCCAGTTGGAAACTCAGTGGTCCTCAGAGGGCGCTGTTGACTGGTTGGTTCCTGACTTCCCACAAGACTTGTGCAACTGTGCAACGAATCCCAATCCTTGGGATTTTCCCCCCATTTCTGCCAGTGTCCTGCTACTGTTTAAGACACATTAATCAACCGCATGACATCTGTATACGTAGAGCTGCAAAAAAAAACCCTATCATGTGTGTGTGTGTGAATGTATCTATTGGCATAGAGACTCAAGAGCATTCAGTTAGTACTCACATCCTTCCAGTAAGTAGCCCGCAACATTTACAAGATTGTTAAACATTTGATTTTAACAGCAACCGAAAGTCATAAAATACTGTCCTTAGATTAGAAAGATCTCATAACCCCAGACATCTTTGAATTGGTTCGTCTGCTTCTTGAGCCGCGAAGCTGGATTTGCTTCCAGATGTCAACATTCAACATGATGTGCAGAACATGTACAGAGACAAAGAACAAATTGCAATTCAAAAATCTTGCTTCTTCACTGCCTTCTTTGTTCATCTCTCCCCCCCCCTTCCCCTTTTTCCCCCTTCTTCCAAGTTTCTCCGCTTCTCTCCAAAGGGAGAGGTTGCTGAATCAAGCTCACCTAGATATAATAATAATAATAATAATCCTTGCATTTGATATAGCGCTTTTCACGTCGGGAGGACGTCCCAAAGCGCTTCACAGAACACACTGTAAAGTGAATTGACTGTATATTTGTGGGCGAACGCGACAGCCAATTGCGCACAGCGAAGTCCCACAAACAGTCATATGGATTAAAAATCCTGTCCAGATGTTTGCCTGGGACTATTCTTCCCGTGCAGGTTGAGAAAGGGAGCGTACGCATGCTGTTGTATCTGATCCTGTCCTCCACTAATACCCCAATGACTGCTTGAAGTTTTCATACTTAAAAAAAAGTTTTCGCAACATCTCCAGCAAACTAGCCCCCCATAAAAAATATGAAAAGTAGCGATTTCATTCAAAATGACAGATAGATAAAGCACTGTTCACTTTGAGCCACAAATATCAAGCAAAAAGAGGAAAACAGATTGGTCACTCGATCTGTGACTGTTTGTGGGACACTGCTGCGCGCAAATGAAATGCTCACACACTGAAAAATCTTGACAAGACTTTAACTCAAGTAACTGTTTAGGATCTCTTCAGCAGTGATATCAGAAAAGGCTGTATAATAATAACATTAATCCTTGCATTTCTTTTAATGCTTTATCATGGAGTCCTGTAGCTCAGTGGTTAGAGCACTCGCTTTGCAAGCGAGACACCTGAGTTCAATTCCAGGCAGAGGGTGAAACCTTGGGCAAGTTTCCTTACTCCACACAGAGCCTAATAATAATCTCTCCAAAACCAAAAACAATGATAAATTGGTCATTTTCAATCTACGACTGTTTGTGGGACACTGCTGTGCGTAATTGACTGCCGTGTTTCGCCCACAAATATACAGTCAATTCACTTTACAGTATATTCTGTGAAGCACTTTGGGACGTCTAGAAGATGTGAAAAGCGCTATATCATATGCAAGGATTATTATTATTATTATCACATTGCCAAAATGTCTCAAAGTGCCTCAGAGTGTTTACCATAGTAGAGTGTAGTAACTGTATATTTTGTAGGTGAATGCAGCAGTCAGTTTGCACAAAGAAATGCCCCACAAGCAATTACATATGACGTGAATGACCATTTTTCAAATCTGGAGGATTGTTTGTAATATCACACGATTATTTTGGATGAAGAAGAACCTTTGAATTTTTGTATGGCAACTGTTGTTGACTGAATGTTTTAATATTCTAGGCAGATAGAATATTAAAATATTGTCTGATGCTACTTACATAAATAATGAAATTGCCTTGATGGTGTGTTGCCTGAGGTGCAGGATGAAGCTTCCTTCTTAAACTTTGGAGATAAAAGACAGTTTAATTCATAAGATGCAGATCTCATTCATACACATGAGACCATACGATTATGATGAATCCGACTCATTAATTGAGTTACCAATGAATTCCCTGGTGGAATTGTGTGACCTTTGCAATTAAAATGCCTAAAAAATAAATGCAAAGACCACGTAGTTCTCATTACTAAAGAAAAAGTTAAATGCATTTCAGCAGCTGATGATTTGTAAAACAGAATATAATATGAGTTTCTTTTTTCTAAATGATTTCCTTTCATTTGTTTGAACTTACACTTCAGGGCTTTCCTGAATTAATTGTGCCCTTATTTGACCCAAAATAGGTCTTAAAACAAAAGTGGATACTTTAATTTTTCAACCATATCAATAATCTATTATCTCCTCCAGTTCTGATTTTTTTTCCTCAAACTACAACGCACAGCTTCTCTGTATTTGTAATATTCTTAGATTATAAAAAATAGTTGAGTGACTAGGATCTAGCTTTGGATTTCAATGTAGGAATGGCAGGCTACAATGACATTTGTAAACTGTTAAAAAATTACATGCAATTCTTATTCCGTCTAATTGAAATAAGTTCCTAGTTATCTATAAATGATATATAATATTGGACCATAATATACTCTCAGTTATCGAGTGTGAAAAAAATTAAGATAAAAATATAGGTAATGTTCTTAATTTGCAACAATCTT